AGAATTTACATTTCTTCTGATCAGTGCTAGTGACTTTTGCTGAAAAACAGGTTACTTCAGGTGGCTGGCAATTAAGACAATTGACATACCATTCTTTTGAAAGACACAGATGCTTTTTCATGTCCAGGGTGCCATCATCCCACTGAGTGCCCCCTTTCTATTAATTTATAGTTTTCTACTCTCACAATGGTATCTGAGTAGCAAAGCATTTTAGCAGCAGATAGTTTCAGTCCATCAACCTCTGGGCTCACTGCCTAGTACAGCCATGGCCTTAGATGAGGAAACCGGGAGAGAGACTGGGGAGACATTGAATATAAGTGAGGTGTGATTGTTTAAGTGACATCCCTTCTGTATTACTCTCAAGTCTAAGGTTGCTATGTTATCACCCAGCCTCCTAAGGGAAGCAACCCAGTTGTAAAATTCCTCAGTGGACATGGGCAATCATAGGGACAAATGGAACCCATGTGTACCTAGTTGATTTGAGATTAGCTACTCTGAGAAGGTACCTGGGATTGGCAGACTAAGTTTTGTGATCTAAGGGAAGGCAAAGTTTACCCTGAAAACAACACAAAGCTTGTCCTGAATACATCTGTGCCGCAATTGTATAAGCAAATAGGCTGCTAATTCCTCTTTCTATTCAATTATATATTGATGGGAACTGTGCAGTTATATGTAACTTTATATTCATTTATTAATCCTGTTTTTGTGTCATTCCTCTCTTGAATGAAATAACTCATTTCACAAATCTAGGAGCCAGCTGACTGTTAAGAAGTCATCTCACTAGAAATTACAGATAGAAAACCCCATTAGGGCATTTGGTTTAGGGGTCCTCAGACTTTTTCACAGAGTGGAACCCATCTGAACAGACATAGTATCTAGTGAATAATCTCCACTTTCATTTTCAGTCCATTTGATATTTCTGTGGCAGCTACCACAATTGCTACATGGGAAAGCAATGTCAGGAAAGCAGAGTACCTTCTTCAGGATAGGAACTGTGCCTTCCTTTATACATGTACAATAGCACAATGAAGACGTTACTAGAAACAAATAACTGAAATATGTAACAATTCTCCTGTATTTTAATTAGTCTACTAGTGGCTTTGGCTTCTTGAGAGTGAATGCTGTTTTCTCTCCTCCTCCTCTGATATACAAGCAGCTACTGGCAGAGACAGCTAAACTGACTCTTCCTGTTTGTTCCCTGCCACTTTTACAAATATCCAAGCTCCTCTTCGCCAGGAGGAGCCTGTACAACTACAGAAAGAGCTGGAAGCAAACAAGTGGATCCAGAACCTTCTGAACACCAGTCAGCTGCCAGATTAAGAACTGATCTAGTCTGTGTCCTTGCTAACACAGGATTGTTTCCTACCACAAACTGGTCCTTTGTCTAGTTGAATTTAAATATCTTGGGAGTGGAGGGGACAAAGATCAGACCACCGTGTCTGAGGGAGAGGTTCTCTGGCAAAAGGGGATAGAAACATCAGTGTTGCAACTGAGATTCTGCAAATGGAATGACCTGTGTGTGGCTTTGCTGTGATGCTTTGCCGTCTTCATTCATGGAGAAAAGGTTTGAGATATATTTAGGATGATGTTCACTCCCATGTCCCACTTACACCCTATTCTGATGGTTTAAGTGGGGCAGAGTCCTGAAGCTGCCTCCCCATGAACAGGTGAATGTAATCTGTTTTCTCTCCTCCTACTCCTCTGATGTGCCAACTACTACTGGTGGACGCAGCTCAACTGACTCCTCCTGTTCGTTTCCTTCCACTTTTACAAATAAAATATACTCAGCATCCTGAATCTCTGCCATTAATCTCTCTTCCCAGTGCAAACTCAGTGGTCCTTGACTGAGCAAAACTCCCACTGAAGACAATGGTCCCCAGAGAAGAACAAACCTACTCTCAAGACCTAGGGCTAGATTCTCCTCTGCCCTGCACCATAGTTTCATTGACACCAGTGCAAAGTGAGTGTAAAACAGAACTGAATCAGAATGGTAACGAGTTGTTTTCACTTTGCATTGGTGTAAATCTCTTCACACGGTTCAGGGCAATGGAGAAATTGGGCCCCCAACTCTCCTCCCCAACAGTTCAGCGGAAGGGGCAATGCTGGAAGCCAGTTAGGAGCACATGTAGCAGTCAAAAACAAACAAACAAACAAACAAAAAACAGAATGGGACTTAGCATTAGTGTTTCATCCACAATGCTTGGACTTTATACTAGTCCCTCATCCTTAAGTGACGGTAGCTTCGAGTATGTGAATTTGTTACAGCTGCACAGCTGGGAGCTTCAGGACATTTCATCCTTCACTGTGACTGTTAAGAGCTCCCTGCTCGGATCTGAAACCTTTCAGCAGAAACTGGAATTTTATAATTTTAATTGGTATCACAGCTCCAAGTTACATACTTCTGGGTCAGAGAGAACAGTGTTAGCAATCTAAGCACAAAGCTTGAACCTTCCTGGAAACACAGAAGCTTAGCCCTTCTTCCTTCTGAGATCCACAAGTGAAGTTCATGCATTTTACCTTGTGTGATACCTTTAAACAGAGGTCCTGTCTGCTCTAGGCAAATTCCTAAATGTAGAGATTTGCTGTGGTGCCTATAACCAAAAATTTCCATTCCCACTGTGGCTAATCCTCATTCTGAGTTGTATTTAATTGGGGAAGTGATCCTTGTATGTAAATTGTAAACAGTGCTTTGGGCTTCTTTGGATGAACGGTGGTCGAAAATAAACATAAATGTGGATGGGTAAATGCATGTGAATAATAGTAATATTTAGAGCTAGTGGAAAAACAAGAAAAATCATGAACATATCACAGATTTTCATCCAATTTTGTCAACATTTGAAAAATTTGAAAAATTCAAATGAAAAAATAGTTTGACTTAACCTCTGATGATGTAGAACCTGGGAGAATGCTACAGAGTTTCTGCTCACTCTGTGGCAGGTGCAGCTCATTAACACCATTCTGGAAGTGACAGTGGCTCTCTAGGAAGAGAAAAGTTGGACTCAGGGTAGAGGAGGGCACCTGGAAAAAGCACACCCTACAATGAGCTTGATCCTTCTTCTTTCATTAGATTTCCTGCAAACTGGTTTCTGCACCATTCACTTTCCTAAAATGACTCTTCATAAGTTCACCTGTGGCCATATCCAAGGGCATCTTCTCTGTACTCTCCCTCCAAAAAACTTCTTCTCTAGTGCAGGGGGATACCTAAAAGTTATCTTGCAATGCTCCAAAGTGCCTATTTAACTTTGAATGTCTCTAGTTGGCTATCCAGAAACGGAGGGACCAAAAGTGAGAGGCCACTTCTAAAATTTTGGCCCTAGAAATGTTGGCCTTAGAGGGTTTGTCTACCTGCAGCTGGGGGCATGCCTACCGGCCCAGTAGACAGACATGCTCTAGCTCTGCTCCAGCTAGAACACTAGAAATAGCAGTGTGGATGTTGCAGCATGGTCTAGCTACCCAAATACAAATGCTGAAGGTCAGGCAAGCTTTTATTTGGGCTGCTAGTACCACCACCCCTGCCACAACCTCCACACTGCTACGTGTAGGGTACTAGCTAGTGAGTCTGTCTGCCTGGGCTGGAAGATTCACTCCCAGCTCCAGTGTAGCTGTATCCAGAGAGTTTGGGGTCCAGGAGACAGGACACTGGCCTGCAACTTGAAAGCCCTGGGTTGTGTTACTGGCTCTGCCTGTGTAACCTGCTGCAATGCAGCGCCTCCGTTTCCTGTCCCACCCTTTGTCTATTTAAATGGTGAGCTCTTCAGAACAGAGGCTCCCTCTTAGTCTGTGTTTGTACAGTGCCTAGCACAATGGGGCCTTGATCTTGCTTGGTGCTATGAGAATATTATTAATTGTCCTATCTTTCTCTCTATATACATACATTATGTATGTGTTTAAATTTTCATTCATTCAGTATCACTTTATAGACAGTATTACTACATGCTTGCAGGGAGATTACTTCCACTGTATATTGTTAAAACATATACAGAATCTGGAACATAGACAAGACAATTCTGTATAAGAAGATGTGCCACCAGAGAAATGAATAGCCCACTTGTAAAATACAGAAGGTGCAGCAAATTTAAATACACCATATTTTGTTTTTGTTTGCAAAACCAACAAGCCTGTTTTACTGGGAGCTTGATTAGAAGGTTAATAGCCTGCATAACTAATGCAAGTGCTAAGGCTGCCCTCATCCATTTTATTCAGCTAGGTTTTAATCTTTGATCCAGCTGCTACAAGCATCTGGCATGCTGAACTCAGACAAGGGAATCTGACATGGAATGACACACCCATGTGATGATAATAGTAATAAGAATATAGTACTATAGATGAGTGTTTACTTGGCACAGATTAAGCATATGTGTTTATGTGAATATAATATATGTATGTTATATATAATATACTGGATATCCTACATTATCATCTAGATCAATAGAATGAAATCCAGATGCCTAGGTATCACTTAGTGGTAGGATGCATTCTGTTCTTGCTTGTTTATATTTATACTGTATAAATGGAGTGTAGGAACAGTATTTGGGAAGTGGGTAGGGGGAGAAACGTAGTCAGTGATTGCTCAGTGGAACCAGGAAAATCCCCCCATGAAGTCCCCCCCTCCCCCAAATCCCTGTTGGAGGGCAGTCAGGCACCAGATAACTTCCCAGTTCCAGACAGGACATTCATTTCCCCCCCACCATGATCCCTATCTGTCTTTTCTCTCCCCCCCCATCCCCCCTCTCTCTCCATCTGTGATTTTGCTAAATATATTAGCCACCCTATTCATCGGTGGCTGCAGCTTCCAGCCCTTCTAGGAATTTCACAGATCAATCGCGCCGGATGGTGTCAAAGACAAGGGGGGAGGGGAGAACAGCATGATGTCCCTCCCTCCTGCCCCCACGCGAGTAGGGAGGGCAGGAGCAAAAGCTGGGAGGCCCGTGCCCCGCGAGGGGGCGCTGCTGTGCCAGCACTGTGGGCCCGGCTCGCCCTGACACCTCCAGCGCAGGTGTGAACTGTGTGGCAGGCAGCCGCCTTCCTTCCAGTTGCGCTCCGGAGCCGGCTGGAGGAAACACGTGCTAGACACACACACACAGGCGGGCGCGCGGTGTCTTCTGCATTAGGGAACTGGCTGCTGCCGCCGCGGCCGGGGCGTTCGCTGCTGCAAGGAGCCGGCGAGAGCTTTGGAAGAGTGCGAAGCCGGCGCCGTCTCCCAGGGGCAGCCAGCGGGCTGGGACTAAGTGGAGGAGTCCTGGTAAGCACTCCCCTCCCCGAGCCATCTCCTGGGCTCGGTGTCCTGAAGGCTGGATCGTCGGGCCGGTGAAGGGGCTATGGGGTGTGTTTGGGGGGGAGGAGGGCTGGGCTCCAGCAGCTGTTCTTTCCCCCCGTGCCCTCCTCTTCCCCCTAGAGCAAGTTTGAGAAAGTAGCCCCTGGCCGGACAGGTGTTTGGGGTTCGGGCGCTGATCAGAGGTGGTGTCCGTGCGATAGACCAGCCCGCTTGGCTGGTGCAGATCAGTTGGTTGGGATCTGGGTCACCTCGTGTTCGCAGAGAATAATGTTTGAACTAAAAAAAAAAAACAAATCCAACGAGAGGAAAGAGCCGGGAATGGCAGAAACCCAGGCTGTGGAGCAGCGGGAACGGCAGCAAAAAGTATGTTAATGCTCTAAAATGGATGCACGAACTAATCCTCCTCTGCAACGACGTCCTGGTAAACAGTCAGCCCCAGCAGCAGCCTGTAAAGTCCAGATCAGCTATTACTTACATGACATTTTTACATAAGAGCCGGGAATAGAGAGGAGATTCCCTCCCCCTGTTGTTGCTGCGGCTCGTGCCGCAGCGCTCTGGGAGGTGTTGAGTTTGTAGAGACTCAGGGGTGGCTACTGAGCCAGGCCCCCTCTCCCTTCCCCAGAACCACGCACCCGCGGTCGGGCTCGTGTTCCCAGGCGAACTGTTGCACAAAGGTGCAGCTGGATGTGTGAGGAGGGGAATTTGCTGGGTGTGTGTGAGGGGGGCGGAGGGTTGGACTGCAGGGAAGCCAGGCACGTTTGGGGGGACGGAAAAGGATAGAGGGGTACAGCAGAATTGGAAAGAGGTAGGGGGGGTGGATGGGTGGGTGTGTGGCGCAGGGGGTATGCGGAGGTGCAGAAGACACTAGCCAGCCAAGGAGAGGGAGCAGAAGACGCTGGTGAGAGGCGCGGAGTGAAGGAGGGGACCCAGGTAATGTGGCTGCGGGGCGTGCGGGATGAGTAAAGGGAGGCATGGGACGGAGGGCACTGAACTAGCAGGGCGGCGAAGGGCAGAGGGGAGCGGGACCAGGGCACACATCAGGAGATGAAAGGCTGTAGGTCTCCAGCGCCGCTAGGGAGTGGGGCAGGTTTCAGGGGTCATGCGGGGAAGGGGTGGGGGGGCTGATAGTGAAGGCAGCAGGAGGGGAGGGGGATACCTGTTCTCGGGAAAGGCGAGGGTGGGATAAAGGAGGGGGAAGAGAGGAACTAAGGAGACTGCAGCTGGCACGGATCCTGGCATCCGAGTTGGCAGCTCTGAATTCGCCCTTGGCCGGTGCATTGCTTCTCGCCTGGCTGTCCCTGGCTTTGTCACACTGGGCTGCTCTCGACGCGGTGTTGCGCCCATTTCACCTGGGAGGCCTCGTATAACCCAGCGGCGTACAATCGTGGGGTACAACCCCAGGGGGAAATCTGGATGTAAAAAATATTTTCTTCCCCCCTCAAATAAGCATCAGGCTGAGCCCAGGGCGGTCTCGCTGCTTGAGCTCCTAGAGGGATCTGTGCCACTTGGTGGCACTAAAAAGTTGCGATGAAGACCGTGCTAATCTCTCTGCATGTAAATTTCAACCCCCACTCGCACCCCGGGCCTCGTCCGCACACGCGGTAGGGTCTCCGGTGTGGGCTCCTCCGTGTGATTAAACCAGAAAGAAATTGACCAGAAACCAGTCTCCACTCTACAGCGGTCTTTGTAGGGGGATGTAAAACTTTGTGGAGAAATAAGCTGGCCGAAACAATAGGGGCAAGCTCGTCTCTGGAGCTATTTCTTCAGAGAAAACACTGTGTGTATAGTGTGTGTGTGTGTGTGGGGGGGGGTATATCTATAACTAAAGCTTGAGGTGCTACTTGCTGTCCAGAAGCAGGTTCTCGAGACACATTCATGGCTTTAGGTCATCCCCGGTATCATGTATGGCATCGAATTAGCCCTGTTGCCGGACCAGTTGGGAAGCGGGAGGGGGGAGATGGAATAAATTTAGTGGGGAGCCTTTGAAACCTTCATTCACCTGAAGCAACTTCCCTGCAGTGCGAAATTCAAAAGGACTCAGAGCAGAGGGAAGGATTCAAAAGCCAATCGGCTATAAAACTTGTGGTGCTGGGGAGGGAAGGGGCCAGGAGGCTCTGTCCTGCTAGGTCTGGGCAGCGAGAGGTTCTGGAGAGCAGAGAGCAAAGATCCAGCTGTTTTTTATCCAGACGCCTCTTGCAAATGAGGCAGTGGCAAGGCTGGGGGAGCAGCGTGTTGAGTGGCACGAGGGGGAGGAGGTACCCGGTCCTCAGAGTCTGGCTGGGATCGGAAGACGACAGGACGTGCTGGTAGCTGGAGGAGTGACAGTGCTGGCCAATGGGGCCAAAGGCGCTGCTGCCGGGTGGTGACCTCTCCAAAGAGACCTGAGGATTATTCAGCCCCCCCCTCCCCCCGCAGAGGTCTGCGATAGGATTTGCTATCAATGGCAGCGTTAAACATTGCAGGAGGCACCTTGCCTGCGCGTCTTGGCTATTGACACCCCATCGCAAGTGGCGAATGCAGCCATCCGCAAGGTAATTCGGCTGGGGAGGGGTTGGCGGGTATCGGTCCCCGTTGCAGCTAAAGGAATTCCGGATCCAGCAGGAGCTCTCCCTCCCTTTCCCCCTATTGTTCCGTGCCCTGATCGCATGGCTTCCAAGCAAGCCAAGGCTGCAGGTGACCGGGGTAGGAAGGGGCGCAGCGCCATGCAGCGTGCTTCTCCTACACATGGCTGCCCTGTGGGTATGTCTGCCTAGTGACATGGGTCTGGGGCCAGCCCCGGCTGTGGTGTTCTGCGCGCTGCGTGGGGAATGGGCGGTGGGACCCGCCAGTTAGTTAGTTACCTTGCGGCTTTGCAGGCGAGACCTTCCTCCACGATTAGGCAGACAAGGAACCTCTCAATACCAGGCGTTCCCGAGTTTTACATGACCTGTGTGATCCGCTCAGCGGGGCAGGAGGGGCGGTGTAGTGGAAAAGGCAATGGACTTGCTCTCCAGAGAGAGCTGAGCCCCAGACTTCCCGAATGACCTTGGGACAAGTCACACAACCTACTCTCAATTCCCCAGCGAATACTTGGGGATAATACCTCCGGGGGTACCAACATCCACTGCCGATTGCCCGCTGCTCAGATACTACCGTGAGGAGGCCAGATATTTAGACAGATCTAGCTAGCTAGGTCTAAGAACCAATTCATAAATGCGTGTGTATAGACATATATCTAGCTGGCTACACCTGTAGGTAAGATTGCACTATACTTTATAAACCCTTGTTTAGTGTGTGTGTATAATTCAAAACCTGTAGCCCAATTTGGCAGAGTTATTACAATACAGCTTCATGCCCCCCCCCCCCCCGCCCATTTTTCCAGTCCTTAACTTGTCTCTTGAAATCCCTAGCTTGGTGCCTGGCAGCTGAGTGTCTGTCTCCGGAGGTGTCCAACTGCTAGTGGCCTGTTAAGTACCACAGACAGCTCCTTCTAATGCTTGGGGAGAATTAACTGGATTGAGGATACAGCTTAGCAGCTGCTCCATGTAAAAGGGAAGGAAAATTTAGTTTGACTACCAGGTGAAACTCCCCATTGGTGAGATCTATTACACCACTGTATCACTTCTCCAAAAGGAAGTGGTGGAAACCCCATCCCTTGAGATATTGAGGCTAGAAAAAGCACTTGAAACTGCCCATCAGGGAACAATCCTGAAAAGAGAGTGGGGATGCACTAGGAAACCTAACAGGTCTCTTTCATCTTTGATTTTATTATTATATTGCAAAACATTCCATTGTAGTTTACTATAGCACCTAACAGAGGAGAAACACATTCAGATAGTAATGTTTGTGCTATGTGGGTGGGGTATTGTTATAGTTTTGTTTGGCTTTTATATTTTAAATGCTAAGCAATTACCCTTTGGATCCTAAATATGTGCTTTAGCCTCTTATTTACTTATATATTTTGATGTATATCTGCTTCTTTAGTAAAGTGGCAATATGGAAATGCTCTCCATGCCCCCCCTGTATAGTGATTTGCTGTGATACTTTCTGCAGTTGTCACTTTCCCTTGCTTTCTGTTTATCACTTCTTCTGGATCTGACGGTATTGTTAATAATAAAATGATTAAGCATAGTTGAAAGCACACTGGAAATATTAGTTTCTGTGTCATTCAACATAATATTAGTTTCTGTGTCATTCAACAGTAATACCTTGTATATGTACTGTGGGGCCTTCTAAAGATCATTGGCTGTTTTACTGGAATATTAGTTGCATATTAAAAACTTTATCAAAGCATTAAAGGAATGCAGAATAGATAAAGGAGCTTGTGGGACTGTTTTAGAGCAAAGAATACTAGAGAAGTCAATATAACCCTTTATGATGGTACAGTGTGTATTTAGAAGTTTACTACATTGGTCCATTTTATGATTTTATGGTCTTTCTCTATATTTTCAATATTTGTAAATGGAACTACATAGTGGTTTTTATTTCCTGTCCCTTGGTGTTCAGCAGTTTAATCTATTCTTAAAGGGCATGATCCAAAGCCCATTGGAATTCACAGTGCAATGGCTTGCAACTCTGATTTTTGGTCTTTTTTATTTATTTATTTTAAATTAAAGCTCAATGGCTTTTGAAATCTAAACACAAAATAAACTTGTTAATATAGGTCAAGGTTTCAAAAGCAACTAGTGATTTTGGATGCTTCCATTTTTGGATGCCCAACCTGAGACATCTTAAAAGAACCTGATTTCCTAGCGTGGGTGCTCAGCACTTTCTGCAAATCCAGCTCCGTTAACGTTTCTCCAGTTCAGCACCCAAAATCACTTGGTCTCAGTGTGCAGGGACAGTCTTTGGCCAACAAAAACCAGGAGATCAGAGTTAAGTCTTATCATCCTTAAGTTGCACTCCTTACCCAAGTTTAAATGCTCTGCCTATAGATGAAGAGCATAGACATCTTTATTCTGTATCCCTTATGCACCCTAAACTCTTCC